ATTGATTTCGATTATTTCATTTATAACTTTGCGCAATTTAAAATATTTTACTTAATATCCAACATTACAATGGGATTCAATAAACGTAATATTTCTCCAATGTGATTCATATTTTTATATATAATCCGTGTAATGCGTGAATTATGCCATATAAATGAGATATTTCAATTTAAAAATATATGTAAAAAGTTATATACAACTTATTAGAAAAAGTTTATATTCCATTTGAATATATTATATTCCTTTTGCAAAAATAAGCAATGTGAAAGAGTAATTTGCTATAACAAAATACAATGTGTTATTTTTTTCCTTCTAACTTCCTATTTATTACTTTAACTTAAATTGATTTGTTACATTGTACTGAAATATATTTTCTAACAATTTAGTTTCATAAATTTTGAAAAAATTTGTAAGAAGAATATTTATTATTTAAAAATACATAATATAATATTAAGTTTATATAAAGGAGACAAGTTGTTACATATTTTCGAATATATAGTGCAACGAGATCTGTCAAAAACTGTACATCTATATTACATTACTGTACACCTACATTATATTACATATATTTTTTTAATATAAAGTTTTAATTTATTTATCTAACAATAAAAATATTAGTAGGTAATAATTTATCTCACAATGGGGCAGGTTGTGTTACAAGTGTAATTCGCCTTGTTATATTTTTATTAATGTGAGATAAATAAACCCTAAAAAACCTTTAAAAAAGAAAAAAATGTACGTCAAATGTACGCTTGAAAAATTTGAACGACACACACACACACACACACACACACACAAAATTTTCAATTGTGTTAATTAGCTGCAGGGCAGAGCGATCAGAGACCCTCTTCGTCTCACAGCTAATCAACAAGCTTGGAATGTATATCAATTACACATAAGCCAATCACAGCGTTAGAAAAAAGGAATAACTCCCTACGCAGAAGTTGCTGTGATTGGCAGTGGGCTATTGCAGCAGTGTGCAAGTGAACCACTATGAAAAGTTTGTCTTGTACATATGATGGTACGACAAAAAACGTGTAAATGTAACTTAGCCTCAGTATACACAGATATGATTAGAAAATGAAGGGTTCAATTTTCTTTTGCGCAGCCAAGAATATGGCGACTTTCATGGTTGACATATTAGATTAATAAACAAGCTTAGCAGAAAGCATCTATCCTATCACGGGTATGCTGTGTACGTATAGCCAAAAATATTGCGCCGAGTAAATGAATATGATTGGCTGTTATTTGTAGACCCAATCAAAGACATAAGAGGTTTGTTCGCATCGCAAGCTTCAACAAGCTCCAACACGCTCCTACCATAGCTCTTACTCACTCTATCAAGCATGTTGGAGTGAGTAAGAACTATAGTAGGAGCATATTGGAACATTGGAGCATACGACGCGAACAAACTTATAGAGAATGGACTGCGCGATCCATGTGTCAAAATGGTCGATAAAAGTAAGAGAGATAAGACAGAGGAATCGTGGAAGACGGCCATCTCTATCTCTTTCCATTCAACATTGTAATGGGAGAGAATGAGAGATTGGCCGTCTTCCACGGACCCTCTCTTATTAGGTGCATCCAGAAGCATAACCGCTTACTGAGCGCTCAATGAGCTCTTGTACCTGTTTGGTCTATATTTTTACATCTAATGGAATATGCCATTCAAATGCAAGAGCTTACTGAGCGCTCAGTGAGCGGTCATGCTTCTGGATGCATCCATTGTCGACCACATTTGAATAATGAATACTACTTAATGGCTGCGTTCA